TGCATGATGTTGCTTGTGCTAAGCACATAGCATTAAAATAAATAAATAAATAAAAAACTCACTAATGTAATTGACTCAACAGTGGCTCATCGCTATTTTCTTTTTAGTTATAGATGGACATAATACTTTTATTTTATTTATTTATTTTTATGTGCCACTGAGGATAGAACCCAGTGTCTCACACGTACTGGGCTCTACTACTAAGCCACAACCCCAGCCCCACAATGGCTCATTGCTAATTTTAGGAAGTCATATAGTGTTAGTGCTTTTTCCCAAYGAAAGGTGACTGCCCTTCCCCAATATTTTTGGGAAAACAACAGATGATATATAATGATTAACTTAGGAAAAATTAATTTCTGCAATGAATTAGAAAGAGTCACAAAAAGGAGCAATGGATGGAAAATACGGCCAGAGAAGGTTGAGGTGGGAGGCTCAACTGAGCTCACTAGTTCAGGACTAGCCTGGGCAACCACACAGAGGGACCCTGTCTTAACAACAACAACAAAAAAAAAAAAAAAAAAGAAGAAAGGAAACGAAAGATTGCCAAAGAACTTTTCTAAACATAACAAAATTCCTACCTTCCTTAACCAAACCTCAATAGCCCAAGTAGGAGTGATGATGCTTGGAGCTTTTTAGGAAGCAATCAATGGCTTATTTTATTTGGCAGGTAACATCTGATAGAAAATCATTCTTTTTTTTCCTGGGGTTCCAGGCTCAACTTAGGGCCTACCTGCTGGAAAAAATCAAAGTTAAAGACATAGATCACTGGGATGCCAAAGACACAGCTACCTGGATACTATTTGTGACTGCTTGAAGTCAATGTGCTCCTAAAGTATTGATTCTTCCCCCCTCTTTATGAAATGTTAACATGTATTTATTCATTCACCTGCCTCTGGCTGTTCCTTACTAAAGGTTAAGTGGTTGTGAAACCACAGGCACTGGAGAATCAAAGGCTGTTGTTTTAAGCTCTTAGCCAAGTAGTTGTGCCTTGTAGGTTGCCTTTCATGAGCTCTAGCGGCAGCTTAGGGTGGGTTGTCTTTGACCATCTGGAGTTTTTAATGTGTTCCATCCATCTCATGCCAACCCAATTTGCTAAGTTAGGATCACTGTGCTCTGAGACCCTTTGAGATCATGATGCTCAAGGGAGCTGTGTTCTGTGGCCTCCTGGGCCCCTCCTGCAGGTGCACTTGCTTTTTCCGTTTGATGCTATTTTTCTTACTCTCTGTAGGCATTCACCGCAGAACTATTATTACTTGCTTGTTACTGCATGTTGCTGATTCATACTCATAGGAAAAATTAATTTTGTCTTCAACACCTCTTCCCTGTCATTTAAGGCATATGTTAATGAAAGACAGATTTTGGCATCTACTCTCCTCTATAGCTCTGAGACCACAATACCGATTCATTATAAATGAAGATACAACTGTTATTTTACTTCTATTTATATTTATAACTACACCAAAGCCATCTTGCAGGTACCTTTGTGCCTCTCAAATCCCAGACCATATTCCAAGAAATGCTCAACATTTCATGCTTGAATTGGCATTAATGTACATACAAGGTTTTAAATAAAGATGTTTTTACTCATGTTTTATTATTGACACTTCCTGATTTCACATATTTTAGATTACGATAGAGCTGAATCTCTTTGAAGACATTTTAAGGGCTTTTCCTCCCTTATTGCACAGAATGGTTTTTTCCTTTAAGTGAGGAACAGGCAAGTGAGGAGTGCTCTGCTAGGAGGGATGCCAAACACAAGGCTGAAGCCTGAAGGGGGTGGGGCAAGAGCAGAAATGAGCCCAAGCTGAATGCTGAAAAGAACTGATTGAAAGCTTTTTGCTTTGTCATTCCTCTCTGTTCCTTTCTTTTCCAATTTTAACTGTGGACAAGGGCAGCCTACTTATTTCCTAGAATGACTGGATCCAGAATGAGCTATAACCTTGAAGACAGTCTGATCCAAACTCCTGCCCATTGCTATATAGCTCATCACTTGATTCAGGAGCCCTCTCTTCTCCAGCACCTTTTCCAGCAGCACTTGTGCCCATCAATTAAAAGTGCAGGATGAAGGGGAGGTTTTGGAATCAGATAGTTCTGAGTCCACATTCTGGCTCTGACACTTAATAGCTCTGATTTCCTCAGCAAGTTACCTAACACCTCAAAGCCCCAGTCTCATCTGTTAAATGGCTGTAATAAAAGCTAATTCATAGGAGCTTGAGGATTAAAGGAAGGACCGTGTACAGTGTATACAAAATTTAGCACTCACAGCTAAATGGAGAGTAGCTAAGTGGTTCAATAGGAACTAGGACCCATGCTTTCTGACTCCCAGGCAATACTTTTTCCACAGCATGATACTGTTTCTCTCACACAATGTCTCATAAAACCTTTGAAAAAGTATCTGTTGAGTACTGTGTGTGCTGCCTTGTAGATTGTAAATGCTGTTATTACTAACAATACCTCACATATATATATTCAGTGGTCTAGAATTTAAAGTGTGCTTTCACAAGTTGGAAAATACCCACAACAACTGGTGACTAATAGAGGGGGGAAGGAGGAACAGAGGCTTTGAAAGAAGTCGATTAGCGATGCAAATGTGAAGTCATCTGCACTTGTGAGGAGCATAATAAACATTAGAACCAATTAAAAGTAACAATGTGTGATATATTCAGGCTTCAGAACTTTGATGAGATGGAAAAAACAACCGGGATACTACACATGGAGTTTTGGGGCAAGAATTCAACTTACCTGAATCTAGATGATTCAGATGGCTTTAAGTTGGGCCTACAGGAGGGCAGCTATTTGCAWATGGGGAAATTTTTACATACAAACTAGAAAACTGCAAGGATTTAGAATTACATAATGGTAGAAACCCGGATGTGTTCACAATTTGGAGACAAAGCATATGGAACTGAAACAAGCAAAAGCAAATAAGTTCTCAGAAGTCAATGTTAACTGGGTGTTTCAATGTAGACAAATGTGACATTCTGAATAGCAAAACTTGCAATAATAGAAACTGTTATCTTGACTTTCTCACAACCTTCTAAAGTAGTTCTTCATGTGAGAATTTTTACATTTGGACAATGCTCAAAAGTGAATTTTTAGAAATAGAAACGGAGGGTACATTTTAAATATATTTCATTGTTGCTGTGGTATTAGAGGATAAATACACCTTTTTCTGTTAAAAAGAATATGGTATTCCCTCAGAAGATGAATTTTTAGATCTCAGACTATGCATAAACCAATTGGTCCCTGCTTTATGGAGGTGAGGGGAAAATTAGAATTTCAAGTAGTTATCAAATATTTTAAGCTAATACCCAAGCAGATACATTTTTAACACTTTATGAATTTTCCATATCTAAGCAAAATTCCAAATAGGSCTTGCCCTTTTCTTTTTCTGCCCAAATCTGAATTTTTGCCTGTCAGCAAACCCTGAGGAGGAGGTTGATGCAGGTAAGTTAGGAAAGAAAAAGACTAAGTGGACAAGCAGAAGACACCGGGAAAGGCCTGCTGTGCGGCCATGTGGAATAGGAGGTCTATGCTGGACAAAGCCCAAGACAGCCTGGTTTGTGTCTCACAGTCCAAATTTGGTTGATGTATTTTTGAAGCTTCTAAAGGTTAACTCACATGCTGTAATACATTATAGAAAGACACGAAGCTGAATTTTACTGTGCCAGTCAAGAGCCTGGCTTGAATCTGCTATTTAGAACTGAGAGAGACAGTACAATTTACATGTGTGAGAATGTGAGAATAATTTTACCTTCTGTTGTTTTTAAAACCACCTTGGGCCATGATTTTTAAACGGAGACAAGAGAAGATCTGCTGGGGTTCCCATAGCAACATTAACTTATCTAAACTGCCCTTGTTGTATGTAATACTTTCCTGACTAGTTTGGCTTTTAAATWGTACACTTTAATTATGAAATACATGAGTTAAGAGTCTCAGGCAAATTTTTACTCTTACATTTACTGATGTATGCACATTTAAACAGAAATTGATAACTATACTTCTAAGGACTTCCCACCAAGGCAAGTTTATGCAAAAACTTTTCTGTGGTCTTCTTTGCCACTGATTTCTGACTCACTCCACTCCACTGTATAGACAACTCTTCAACAAATCTCTCTAACACTTTTATAAAACACTACAGTAAGTATGAAACAGAAATCAACTTCAGATGGCTCCAGTTGAAACTAGAAGTTAACATACAGATATTCTAGACTGTTTCCRAACTGACTCGTTCTTGCCCATCTTCTCTCTACTATTCCTCATCATTAACATTTCATACCAAAAGACTTGTCTTATTCTGAGGACAGAAAGTCCAAGGACTAGCCTGAAGCCCACCTCCTCCCAGAAGCCTGATTCTTTTTAAAACTATGACAAGTGTTACCACTACTAGATGATGTGTTGATGGTGATAGACCAACATCCATCCTCCTCTTTTTGATAACAGGGTTTTGATTTTCCTTTGAGGAACTTTCTTCCACTCACACATTCTGGTGGTAAATCAATTAAGCTGCCTTGCCCCAGTTCAATAAGAGATGAACCCATGACCTAAGCTGGACCGATTCTATTCCTCTAGAAAACTGAATTTCAAATAATTTGAAAAGGAAAAACAGATGGAACTTAATTATTCCAATGATGGCCCTTTCAAGAAATTGCCCATTTCTTCCAGATGCTGGGACTCACAATCAAAGTTCACTAGCTAATGAGTTCTCCATGTGAGTATTTGTTCATATATTATCTTATGTCATGATTTAGAGGTTTAGGATATGCACATTTTGCTTTGCCAGCTAGATTCTACTTATGCTCCCTGAAGACAGGGCTGGGTCTTTATTGATTATATTATTTTACATAATTCAGCACAACATAAAGTACTCAGTGAATATTATGTAATGAAAGACCAATCTTAGAAACTCCATTTTTACAAAGTGAAGTTTGTAAACCAACATGTGTTCTTTGAGGCAGTGGAGTAAATAAATCTTTAATTGCTATAGGAATTTTCTTGGTTTTGACAGTTGTCCTAAAGAGAGTCTACAACAACTTGTACATCTAAGAATGGCCTAAAAGTAATGTTAGCTTGGCCATACTTTCCCAATATAAGAAAAGAAAGAGAAACTAAAATTGCATTTCAGACAATAGTTTTTGAATCAAAAAAACAAAAATACCAAACCAAACCAAACATACAAACAAAGAAAGCTTTGGGGGAAAAATAATAATATATCTTGATCTTGGGCTTGTAGCTTTCCCTAGAAACATGACATACTGCCTGTCTGCCAYGAGATGACAACGGAGGAGGGCTTGACTGGGAAAAATGCTTTACTAAGCTTATATATATAAATATAGAAGATGATTTTTCTGCTTCTTAAAGAATGGCAGGTTATGGTTTCTCAAAATTATCTGATTTATTTTAGTAATTTAATTGAATGTTTTTAAAACTCAGGGAAAAGCAAAATTGGTAGATGTAATAAACCCAAACAAGCTTGGGTATCAAGTTTTGAAAACACAGAAAGTAGTACACTCTTCCAAATCACTTAAATGTGCTTCAAATGCTCGAAGAGCTCACCCATGATAAGACAGAAGGAAACAAATTCTCTTCTTCTTATTGTCTTCTGAGAAATGAAAGATTTGCAGGAGCCTTTGGATAGTGTAGTCTTCTGGCTTTGTACTTCATCATGGTACATAGTTCAGTCATGAGAAAAGAATGAAAATATCAACTTGGAGTTATTCTGACTTGGGTGCAATGGTTTCTGGAATTTTCCTTGAACCCACACTCGGTGCATTTTCACTTGTTTTTTCCTATTAACTTGTAAGCGATGATCAACCAGATTTTGCTTTTCATCTAGCCCAGCCTTGCAGAACAAACGGTGGACTTCCCCTGTGAGACAAAAATGGCAAAGACAGGACATATGACTAAGGAGGAGGTAATGAACAATGGAATATTAGTGGAATGTTTGACATTCAAATTTCATTTATACCAAGAAACACTGTCCAATACAACTAGGTGAAGGAGTCTGTGAAACCAAACAGGTTTCTTCTACCTTAGAAAAATATACCAAGCATAAACAGACTAACAAAGCAGGCATAAATGGATACACAAAACTATTGGTTGCTGCTTTAAATAGTTGAAAAGTGCCACCTTTCTGAGCTTTTTTGTTGGTTTACAGAGACCCTAAATTATACGTTATAAGAGTACTTACATAAGTTTTGGGAAGTCTTTGAATGCAGGATTCATTTGGTACTGTCAGAAATGCTTTTTTWAAATGAGAAATTGACTAGAGGTAAGTAATTTTCTATAGACTTATAAAATTCCCTCTTTTGGCTGTGGAATATTATCAATTTTTCATATCCAGGCTAACAATATCTCCAAAATTACATATTGCACCTTTACTTGAGTTGAGAGTATAGCAGGTGATTCTTTAAAGTAGTTTTAACTGGAAGAAGATTAAAAGGCAAAAAGGCCATTTTCAAGTTTTTATGTAGATTACAAGCACCAAACTATGAAGCTATCCAATATTTAATCATGACTAAAGCCTCAAATTTATAGCTTTTGAGTTTCTCCATGCAAATAATAACCAAAAAGAGTTTTTCAAGATAATTATTTCCTCTTGTAGGTTAGCATACCTTTTGTAAAGAAATATGCTCTGGTACCATCTCCTCGAACATAAAAATTTTCAGATAAACAATGCCCTAAAAAAAAAAAAAAGAAAGAAAAGAAAAGAAACACTTGGTATTTCTTAAAAAACAAAAACCCCAAACAACCTGACATGAAATAGATAAACAGAACATTCTTTAAAACACATAAAAATAAATCATTACCCTTTTTAAAACGAAGCTGGGTATTATCGTATCTCCCATAGTCCCGAAATAACAGCATTCCCCCAGGCTTCAGTAACTTCGACAGCCGGTTGACAACACCTTGCATCCTTTAAAAACAAAGCAAGATACCCTGTTTGTGGAAATCTTCTGCCAGATTTAACCTTCTTAAAAACAAAGTCAGAGAAGCTCAATAATGCCAAAGAAATTTAAATCATCAGTGTAAAGGCAACAAAACCAAACATATTGTGTAAAGAAGGAATTAAAAAAAAAAAAAAAGAGCCAGGTGTGGTGACATATGCCTAGGGGATCAGGAGGCTGAGGCAGGAGGATTCCCAAGTTCAAAGCCAGCCTCGGTATTGGTGAGGCACTAAGTAACTCAGCGATACCCTGTCTCTAAATGAAATATAAAATAGGATTGGGGATGAGCCCCTGAGTTCAATCCCTGGTACCCTTCGCGCCCCCCCCCCAAAAAAAAGCTATTGACTTGCTAAATGACCAGATTCAAAAGCCCTACAATTTCAAGAAATTACCCAAATGACCCTTCATACAGCTTGATATATGATGCCGAAAGCTGAACTGCAAAACCATTAGATGTCTCTTAATATTTAAGCAAAGCAAGGTTGTTCTGAGGGAGACAAAAAGTGAAGATACTTCATTTTCCTTGCAAAATAAAAACTACGCCATAGTCATTCCAAATTGTACATTATCCAGACAGGGATTATCTTTCCCCCAAATTAGTTCATTCTTCTGATTAATTTTTTGTTCAAAGGTACTCTCATTCACTTCATGAAGGAGAGGTAATTTTTCTCTTCTTCTATCCTATGTATGTGGGCATTAAATTCTACATCCTCTCTCTCTTGTGCTTTTTCTTTTTTCTTTTTTTAATGACATCTTTGTTGTTTTCTCTCTTTTTTCCCTCATTGGAACTCCCTTAGTACAAACCCCTCACTTCCTAATATGCTTTTTATTCTCCCATCAATTCTCTCTGCACATTATCAGTGAATTATTCTGCTTAAAATGGTGGTTTTGACCATCAATATCCTTGTTTACAAATTTTTGTGAATTTTAACCCATAGGGCAAATTTTTATTTCTTAGCAGAGTTCTTAAGATCTCTTACTAATGACCCCAATGAATCCCTCCAACATCCTTTCTACTATTCCCAATCTGAAGCCCCTCCTCTAGCCACACTGTTACATGCTTGGTTCTGAGCACCTATTCCTTATTGAAATCATTGCTTATATGGTTTTCTCTCAAAAAAAAAAAAAAAACTCTTTTCCTTAATACCTGCCTATTTAAATTTTATTCACACCACAATTCCTACCTCAATACTGGAAAGCCTTATGCTTTCTTCCTTTTATTCTACTTCTATGACTTGCAGTCAAATATGACTCCTTATAATTGCTTAAATTTGTGTTTGGGGTTACTTGTTCATGGTGCATGTGTTGTTATGCGCCAGGGATGGCAGATTCAGATCTCATGTCAATATTGAGTGGGTGGCATTAGTTGCCTATGGAGTTCTGTTCAGGACTCACAGAGCCCACTGGGAATGACAATCAAAGTACAAAACTGATTATCAATGTCTGCCATGGGCAGAGAATGGTAAATGGCAGCCTGTGTTGTCCTTGTGGTCTCTGCTTTATCCAAGCTACTTAAAGCTGCTGAGGTTTTCTACTTTGAAAACGAGGAGTTTAGATTTGTTAATATGTAAATTACTTCCAATTACTTTAATATGTAAATTAAAACACTGTTCAGTGGAATAGAGGGGTGTAAGCCATATTATATCATGTTATGAAGGAAATAGATGATGAGAAAATGAAAGCTACTACGAAAACAAGAAAAATATGACAGATATTGTAGATTAGGTGAAAAGTCCTTTTAAAAAATGGGAACGTAAGTACACGAAATGGAAAAAGAAATATATTTTTTCCTTGTTTATTATAAATCATTTTCATATTGTGCTTATATCCTTGGGCTTTGTCAATGAAAGAAAACCATACCTAACCCTTAAAATATTCACTTTCAGGATAAATGTTTCGTGTATATAGCAAAAGTTCTGTAATTGTTAGTAAAACAAAGATGAAACTAAAATGCAAAAAAATAAAAACCATGGACTTCAAAATACAGTTAGCTCCGTCTGCACATCCTTTCCTCCAACTATCCTCTAATGTCTGGGCTTGTGGATAAAGGTAAGGAGCAGGGCGCTATTCTTGAGCATCCTGATTTTGGGTCAGACTGCAGTTCCAGAGCTGCTTCTTGAGAACCACAGATGGGACCAGGCTGGAGAAGAGGTGAACAAGACAAAAATGGGACAAAGCCCTTTTTCTTTCTTTTTCCTGCTTGGGCTGATTCTGCTATCTTCTCCTCTGCTGGAGGGAGATGATGAGAGGGAAGGATGGGACAGGACAAGGAAAAGAAGAGATTTAAAACATGAGTATTTGTAGATTATCTACTCTATGCTTGGATCTACAGGAAGTATCTTATACTTTCATTTCAATAACCAGGACAACTAGCTCCCCCCCCCTAGCATCCTACATTTTTTTTTTTTTTCATTTCAGCTGGAACCTCCAGACTCAGGGTCTAGCTGAACTGCTGGCTATTTATTTGTGTCTGGATTTTCTAAGCTGCTAAGCTACTCTTCTAGAACTTTCCTAGTGGCAAATCCATGATTATGATCCTAAATGATTCTAAAGATACTGCCTTGCCTTTTCACTTACCATTGTCCCCCTTTTAATAAATTTACTTTGATTTGATTTATTTTAAGACACAGTCTTACTATGTTGCCAAGGCTATTCTTGAATTCCTGGCTCAAGTATTCCTTCCACCTCAGCCTCCCAAATTACTGGGACTACAGGTATGTGCCATCACACTCAGCTCATCCACTTAATTTTTAGATCATTTCCATGTAGGTTAGAAAGTGGTACTGACATGATATATCTGAATTTATTTTCTAAAAAAACCAAAATGAAATACTGTACTATAAAAACAATCATTCCTAAGACATCTACTTCCCCTTTTATTTAACATTCAATTCAAATATTGAGAAAATACATGATCTAAACTAATTTCAAATAGTTTTTATGTAGTCTTATTTTGAATTTATACATTTCCTGTTATGGGTACCAAATAGGAAATATTATTTTTTACCCACCTACACCATCCTTTTAACTATTCATATAAAGAAACAAAAAACATAGATGACATTTTCTACTGGTTCCTGAACAATGCCAATAGATTAACAGATTAGCAGAAATGAAATAAGGTACAGAAACTRAGGAAAAGTTAGCTTCATGGAACCAGGTACATATATCAGGTAGAATCTTCTTTCAGATTTATTTGGAAATCTAATTCATTCTCCAAAATAATCAAAGTGCTTATCTCTGGGAAGTAAACAACTTTAAAGCATCCTAGTGATCTCATAATTGCAAAGAAAGAAGCACACAGTAACTCAGATTCTTTGGGAGAGGGTCACAGTCATCAAACATAAAGTGCTTGATCTGGTGATCTGGGCCTGTATACTGCAAAAAAAAAAAAAAACAGTTTTAAGAAACCTTATAAAAGAACAAGTCCTGCCACCTGCCACACATATGCTTTAATACACAGAAGGTGGCACAATTTTAAAAGAGGTGATCATTATAATTGGTAGTAATATTCTCCTTATGTTTCCAGAGAACAGCTGCATTTACAGCTTTAAAATATTGTGCAAACATAAAAATCTCAGTCATAAATATTTAGGAGGCTGGGGATATAGCTCAGTGGTAGAGTGCTTGCCCAGCATGCACAGGCCCTGGGTTCGATCCCTAGCACTGTGGAAAGAACAAACAAACAAAAACAAACAACTTTATCTATATTTATATATGCAGATATAGTTGAATAATGGCACTGGGCCCACCTTAAATCATAAAGGTCTACGGATAATCCAACAAATTGCTATGAYCTCTAATTTCTTATTGGGCTTCTTTAAAACAAAAGTTCAAAAGCCCATCAACAGACCTGTGTTAAGCCAAACAGATCCACAGCCCACCTCTTCACGAACATTTAGGAGGATGCTAAATCAAAGATGTTTGTTTCTGATCACCAAGTACAATTTCCCTCTTGGGAGTCTATTAGGCTGTTCTGAATTTGTAATTTCCTTGAAGCACTGTCACTTTTAATAGGTATGTGTCTTGCCAGAATATGTTCACTTCATTCTGACAGTGACAGAAAGCTCGCTAATGAAGTAGTTTGACCAGTTTCTTTCTTAAAGTCTGAAAAAAGAAAAAACTGCATTTAAAAGGCTGCATATTATACATAATGTAGTTCACTAAATGATAAACTCAAGAATTGTCATTTTTGCTTTGATAGTTTCAAAAACCACTAGTGATAAAGAAGCTTTACACATTTGCTTTGCCCTTTCGTCTTCATTTACCTGTCAGGATGAATAGAAGAGAGCACAAAGACAAGGAGAATGACATCCAGGATCCCATCTGGAAAAGGGTAGGGTAAGCCATCATTGCACACATCATGAACAAAGGCAGAACACTGGGCTGCTCTGTAGGATGAGTGTGACTGTCATGATAAACGAATAAAAAGAAAAAGAAAAAAAAAGGAGTTAGCTGATTTTTAAAAAATAAAAAGGTCAAATTTTAACTTTTTCTCCCAAGAGTCTTCTCTCTGTAAATTTGAATACACTTTATTGCCAGTTCATTTTTCTATTAGCTTAGTTCAGGCTGACCTAAAAAATTAAGTCTAGTACCTAGATCTAATAACAAATATTTTTCGTAATCCTTCTTTGAATTTAGGAGTAGGGCAGGTCTTATGAGTCAGTAGGCAGTTGTTAGAGGCCTAACCAGTGTTGTTTAGAGGCACTAAGATGTTCCTCAACTCTCCTACTGATTTTTCCATATCTCTTTTGGCTTAAAATACAAATATCCTATAGCACATAATAAAAATTAGATAATGGTAATGGTTGCACATTTCTAAATACACTAAAAACCATTGAATTGTATACTTCAAAATGGGATAGTATGTGAACTATATTTCAATAAAGCTATAATTTAAAAAAAAACTGCATTAGTCACACACACACACACACACACACACCCACACACACACACACAATTTGTCTACAGAAATATCACCAGAAGTAAATACATGAACACATCATGTTGATTCACCCTAGGAAGTGTGATTACTGGTGTATTTATTTCTTTTCCATTAGGCTTTTTTTTTTTAAGATTTTTTTAAAGATGGACACAATATCTTATCTTTATTTATTTTTATGTGGTGCTGAGGATCGAACCCAGTGCCTCACATAACCCCAGCCCCTGTTTTTTTATTTTTTTACTATGGAAAATGTTTGCAATGAATAAGAATTACTCTTATTATCAGAAATCTAATTTYTACTTAATTTTCTTTTTTTCTGCAGTACTGAGGATTGAACCCAGGACCTCATGCTTGCTAGGCAAGTTGTGTGCCACCTAGCTATAATATTTAATTTTTTGAGACAAGGTTGCTTAAGCTAGCTTCAAATTTGTGATTCTCCTGTCTGAGCATCCAGAGTAGCTAGGATTATATGTGCCACTGCACTTGGCTTTTACTTACTTTTTAAAAGTTTTACTCAACTATGTGTTTACTGTACATTTTTGTTAGTAAAATTTCCTTTCCTTTTTGTTAAAATTGTCTCTTCATTCTAAGGTAATATTCACTACCATTCAGGGATTTGTGCAATAATCTTAGGTTTTCCACTGTTTTTCTTATAGTCTAGGACAGTCTGGATTTGCATTAAATGCCTTCTCAGATATTTTTCTAAAGTTTTAATTCAATGAATGTCTACTGTGACAGACTATGTGGAGGCTTTAGAGAAAGATATGAATAAGATCTTCTTGTAGGATTTAACAGAAAATTTCAATTTTGGGGGTGGGAACTTGTTTACCCATATGAAAATTTTAACTAATTTTAACTGATCTCCTTTGAACTTAAACAAGTTGTTTGGAGTWCAGTCACACTCATAGACATGAATTTTGTAGGTCAGTACCATTTTGGTCATCTCTGTGTGCTGTTGGCTTTTCTAGGTCTACCAGTTCCTTGAAATCTATCTTAAATTTAAGACAAGTTTGGGGCTGGGATTGTGGCTCAATGGTAGAGTGCTTGCCTAGCATGTGTGAGGCCTTGGGTTCGATCCTCAGCACCACATAAAATAAATAATAAATTTTAAAAAAGTTATTTAAAAATTTAAGACAAGTTCTATTGCTTTAGGATAATTAATATCTTAGGCAGTTGATGACATGATTCTCAGAAGTCATAAAAATTCAGTTAAAAATGGTTACAGATAATATTTGATTTAGAAACATTTCAAAAGAATTCCTCAAAAGCAAATAAATTTGACCTTATTAAATGGACTCCTTAAAGAAAATATAAAGTGTACCTTTACAAGCTCTATAGCTCCAGAGGCAAAATCACAACAATAAAGAAAGGATTCTGGGGTGTTCCTATGAAAAAGGAAGAAGGATTTAAATCTAGAGTCCAAACATGGTCAGGTTAGAAGAAAGCAAACTATAGATTTGATTTATTGGTAACTACTTCTTTAATAGAATTTTGGATGACACTTGGCTTGTCATTTCTCCTTTTTGAATATCACTTCCTGTACTGATTGAGACTTATTAATTACAGGGTAACTTTCAAGCTCCTGTTTCGGTTTTAAGGCCCCCCATTAGTTGGGCCTATTTGCTTTATAAAAAATCTTAACTCATTTCAATTGTCTTCTTTTGGATCTAAATACATTCTGTTTGACTTTAATTTTAAATATAGTAGCAATGACTGGTTAATCATGGGCAGGAATGCACTATGAAGTTTGTGGGCCAGTACCCTTCATGATCAGCCTCTGCAGGCTGGTATCAAATAATTCTTGAGTCATGTTGTACAGAAACATGTCTGAATCACAGAAAGAGGTCACCATGTCTTTAGAGAGTAATTTTAAGTATGGTCCTGGCAGTCATCATACTCCCACATGGGAAATCTCCAAGGCCAACATCCAACATTGCTCCATCTTCCTCCTTTTTCTCCCCAGCATGTACTGTAGTTCCTTAGCTTGGCCAGTCCTACCCTTTTCCAAGGACTCCCAGACTCTTCCTTCATTCCTCTTCGTTTCTGTATTACTTATTTGTCTCTTGGGCTTCTCACAGAAGCTTGAATGGGCAGAAACACATATGCATATTTATTTTATTTTAGACAGGGCCTCACTATGTTGCCTATGCTGGCCTTGAAACCTGGGCTCAAGCGATCCTCTTTAGCCTCCCAAGGAGCTGGTACTACAGGAATGTGCCATTGCACTGACCCACATACTTTTTTAATATATATATATGTGTATGTATACATACATATATATATATATATATATATAAAATATTACTTTTAAAAAAGAATAAAATGCTAACATAGTAATTCTTAGTTGTGTTTCTAAGTTATTGCCAAACATTTATTGAGCATCATGTATGTACCAAGCATTAGAATACAAAGTAATAAAAAAAATTGTCCAATACAATTGTAAGAGTATGGTTCTTGGAGCCAAATAGACCTATGTTGAAATCCTAGATTTGATAATTATTAACTCTGAGTTTGATCTATGACTTAGTTGCTATGTTTATAATATATAAATAAATTACATTTTTTTTTTGCAGGGGAATGTTTATCTGTATAAAAATCTTAACTAATTTTAACTGGTTTCTTCGGAACCTAAATACATTCTGTTTGGCCTTACTTTGAAATATAGTAACAATGGCTGGTTAATCATGGGTAGGAATGGACTGTGGATTTTGTGGGCCAGTACCCTTCCTGATCATTGTCTGCAGGCTGGTATCAAATAATTCTTGAGTCATGTTGTACAGAACCATGTCTGAATCACAGAAAGAGGTCACCATGTCATTCAACAGTAATTTTAAGTATGGTCCTGGTTCTTGTGCACTTGATGGTCTATCTGGGATATGCAGAGAGGGCCAGCACCATAAGTCTTAAAAGTTCTGAAAGGGGATGATAGCATTGCTAAGTAAGGAGAAGAAGCAATGGTATGACAGTTTAGAGGTGGAAATCACATGTCAGGAATTAGAAGCAGAGCTGATCCTGGAGAGCCCAAGCTGGTATGTGGCAAGACATAAAGGCAGGCCTGGAAGCACAAAATTAGAACCTCTAATTTGATTCAAGAGGCAATTCATAAGCACAAATATGAATTTAGCAAAATCTCACCCAGGCTCAGATTATACTCTTAAATGCTACTCACTGATGAATACTATGTCACATATAATTCATTTATTCTGTGGCACTAGGAATTTGCATTCAATTTAAAATCTGTCTAAGTTGAAGTATAATAAATAAGACTTGGTTTTGAAAAGTTAACTGGTACTGAACCAAACGTAAAACCTGAACTGCTTGATTTTTTTTAACCATCTCATCAATATACTTCATTCCACCATTTACCCCTGTTGCTTCCTGTGAAATACATATAAATGTGATTTGTAATTTTCTAGATGGTCACATGTGTTTGAAATGGTCTCAATTACCACTCAGATGCAAATTGCACATGTGGTATAATGGCTAAGGATGAGGATTATGGAACCAGACAGCTGAAGGTTTGAGTCTTGATTCTACCATTTAATTGTGTGACCAAGGGATAGTTAGTGACTTAAGGGATGACTGAGGATGTGACTTAAATTTGCAGTAGCTCTGTCCCCTCATCTTTAAAAGAGASATAAATACATCATCTAAAGTGGTTATGAGGACTGAATGAACTCACATAGTAAAGTTTCTGGAAAGGTACCTGACTCAGAGTAAGCACCCAATAAATGTTAGTCATTATTATACTGTTGTTGCTAATATCACTATTTCCACTATTATTAAAGGATATCTGCCTTGGCCTTTCAGGAACTAAAAAACTAACATGGTCCTCTAAAAACTTCAAAATAACTAAAAATGCTTTTTTGAACCCTGATTTACTTAGCTTATTAATAAAAGTTCTGCAATCTACCTTTGAATATTTACTGAATACCCACAAGATATAGAACAGTCTAGGAACTAAAAGAAAGCATGTGCCACTTGCACATATCCTACCAGGACGGCAGCATGACCTCTGAGACAGAATTCCCACTACATCAGCAGACCAAGTTGAAGTCTTGTGACCACCCAATGACTTTCTGTAAAATCAGTTGACTGCCCTGGCCTTTATCCAAGCAAGCAGGTGCAAATATCACTACTACTACCATACCACCAAGCATTCTCTTGGCAGGGGGTTTAAGAATCAAATGATCCTTGGAGAATGACCTAACCTCCAATTCCAGAGGTCTAATTATGGTAAGGTATTCTGAAAGGGTAAAATATTAATCCTATACTCTCCAAAAGTGATGAATATAATTTCTTAATTGATTTGGGGGGATGACTAAGTCCATCTTTTGGAAAACTAGTCACTGGTTGTCTTTTAAAGATGAATGAATTATCTCAAGTTATTGAGCTACCATGATTTCTAAAACATATGAAGAAAGAAAGACACAGCCAAGAAGCAAAGAGTCAGAAGTGAGGGGAAAAGAACTTGTAATTATTAGCTGGAGGGAGAAGTACAGAGGGAAAAATGCAACTAACGAGTAGGGAATCATTACAACTAACACGTGGGGAATTGGAGATTGAGCAGTCAATACACACTGAGCTTTATATTGTACTGTGGGACAACCTGGAAAATCATATTGGGACAAAATATGCTCTTTACCCCAAGAAATATAAAAAGAGTAGCTGGAGAGATAAGGAATAAAGAAATGAGATGACAAATAATACCTTGAGAACAGCCATAAAATAAAATGCAATCTAATTGCCAATAAAGTGTATTTAAGTGTATTAAAAGTTCAGATATTATTGGGGTGAAGGAACCTGGCAATGTTTCAGCCCTGAAACTGGAAAATGGAAAACAGAATACGAAAAAAACAAAAAAGGTGTAAAAAAAAAAAAAGGCCATTCAAAACTAAATTTACCAGATTCACCTGTGCCTGGCCACTTTAACTAGTCATGAATTAGATAATACTAGGGAATTACTATTCATTATGTTTGGTTTATAGAAGTGTTGGAGAATGCTCTGATTTTTTTGGTGACACACCTGAATAATCAACATAAAGTATCATGATGTTGGCATTATGTTAATAATTATTGAACGAGGCAGTGGGTTTATGGAAATTCACGGTCCTTGTCTTTGATTTTCCAGTGCTTTTACATTTTCATAATAGAGTTTAAAAGATCACATTGTTAAATTAAAAATTATGCACAATAAATGAAAATTCTATCAGTGGTTATGTTAGGATGATGGGTGATTTCCATCCCCTTTCCTCTAATGGAAATGTACTGTAATGTGCTTATGGCTAGTTTTATAGAGAAAAAATTATGTGAAAACTATTGTATAAACTTTGAAAAAAAACAACTTGACAAAGCAGCATAGTAGGGGCTGGGGATGTGGCTCAAGCGGTA